TAGTTATTTTATCGCTGCAATGTACTTAAACTATTTAAGATGCCCAAGCGCACAAGTAATCTGCAAACAGTGAGCATATGATATGTACTGCCATAAATAAAATGATTATAATGATATATACCTTAATAAAATATGGCTCAACTTAGCGGGAGTTAAGAATAAAATTAGAGCTTCGTGCTGATAATGTGTTATAAAATAAAAGCAATGCAGTAAAATATAAATAAGAAGAGATAGAAAGAAGGGAGAAACGTTTTCTTCTTTCACTTTGGTGTATCTTTCCATTGCAATTACATGACCTTTTATAGGCATAAAAAGTAAAGATGATGGACATAAAGTAGGAGATTTAATCTTTAAGTTATTCACAACATGAGCATCCAATGTAGCATCCAATGTACAGACTATTCATAACAGGGATGAGATATTAGTATGTTCAAAATAGGAACGGCTCATTATTATTGGTCATGTTGTTTATGGAAGAATCTAACTGCAGAATGAAGCTCTAAATGGCGGTGGAACGCTCTTTGTCGACAAGCATCCAAATCTCAAAGTCCGAGTAGTCCATGGGAACACCTTGACAGCTGCTGTGATCTTAAATGAGATTCCTCGAGATGTGCATGAGGTCTTTTTAACAGGTGCTACTTCTAAGCTTGGGAGAGCCATTGCACTCTATCTTGCTCGTCGAAGAGTCAGAGTTCTGGTAAGATTAGCTAAATATGCATTATCAAGAGAAATTTGTTAGGCTGCTAACTACAGAAATGCATAGCAGACTAGCAGTAGGCTCATCAAAATACATTAACAGCCTCTTCTGTCTTTTAGTTTTCTCTTGGATAATAGCTTTTATAGTTTGCCATTCTAATAAGGGTAGTTTTCTAATACAGATGCTGACTCAGTCCACTGAGAGGTTCATGAAAATACGAAGAGAAGCTCCGGCTGATTGCCAGAAGTTTCTGGTTCAAGTGCCAAAGTACCAAGGGGCTAAACAGTGTAAGGTAATGGTTTGAGGATATTTCCACTAATATCTGTTGCAGCTGAAATGCTATAATATAATTATGTTAAGGAGCTGTGATGTTTTTGTAAATGACAGACTTGGATACTCGGCAAATGGGCTACTCCTCGAGAGCAGAGCTGGGCTCCATCTGGAACTCATTTTTATCAGTTTGTGGTTCCTCCTGTCATTCCCTTTCGCAGAGACTGTACCTATGGCAAATTAGCAGCAATGAGACTTCCAAAAGATGTCACTGGCTTAGGAAGTTGTGAGGTATACATCAGTATCATATGCCATCGCCTTATTTTTTTGTGTGACTTTTTTCAGAAAACCATAGAAACAGTAAGCCAACAGGATAACAATTTGGTGTGAAATCCAAACTTCGGTAGATAGAATTGTGTTAGTGACAACCAAATTCCATAGTCTCGTCTGTTGTTAGTAGCATCAGTTTATGACACTGTTACATGTTTTGCATAGTGGATACAATCTGTTGCAGAAATGCAAAGTAAGACTGCATATAGTAAACCCAATGTAGTCCATTTTAAGATTAGTGCACCAGGGTGCTCTTTTTACATGTTTTATATGAATTTTCACTGTGCTTCTGTACTTCACCAGTATACAATGGGAAGAGGCGTAGTTCATGCTTGTCACGCGGGTGGGCTACTGCATCTTCTTGAAGGTTGGACACACCATGAGGTTGGAGCCATCGACGTTGATCAGATTGATGTTGTGTGGGAGGCTGCATTGAAGCATGGTTTCAAACCTTTGTATAATTCAAGATAGTGAAACCATTTATCTCTTGTTCTTTAAAAAACTCCTTAATAACCTAAAAGGTTTGGAGCTGTAGCAAAGTCAATAAATATAAAGTCTTCCAAAGATTCTTTCACAAGTCACTACTTCCTTATATGTAGAATCTATTTGTATTCAAACCAAAACTGTAAGCTGAACAAAGAAAATAAATTATAGATCATTGTAATTACCGCAAAAATTCACTGTTAATGTAAAGCCAATGGCATCTCAGCTACCAGAATACTGTCAAGTTTCAGAGACAGGCAAGATCTGCTATTGAAATTTCTTTAAGAATACTCAGATGAATATATATTGAGTGTCACCTGATTGGCCTTTTGCTACTCAATCTTGCACAAATTCGACCAAGGGTCCAGTGTATGATAAATTGTTTGGCACCTAGACTGTTCGTATTAAGCTGCTTCTTCTGGCGTTAGATGATAATCCAGCCATGCATCCCAAACAACAACATCTCAGTATAATCCCACAAGTGGGGTCTCATCAGAAACGACCAATTCATACTAATAAAATCTGAAAACACACTATGGACATGCTACATGATCCTTCCATAGCAAGATTTGTTCCAAATAAAAGGAGAATGAAAATGGTCACCCCAATTAGGCTCGCTACAAGTTATCACATATATCTCACACTCAAAGATCATGTGGTGGTTAGACGCGTTCTTTCTTTAGGAAGGGCCTTCCAGATGGGGCCACAAGAAACCCCTTTGTTATATCAGGATTTGTTAAAAGACGATATCACAAACAGTCTTACTGAATCAATCAGCAACCGAGACTAGTCTCACTTGCTTGTACATTATCTTAGAAACTTCTTTAAGCAGGGAAAGTCTCACTTGCTTGATCAATTGCTACTCAATCTGCAAACATCACAGAGGTGACTCAAGTGTATACTTATGATAAATCAAATGCTATTACACATCTGGAACTGGTTTCCTCGATTTCACCATCCAAGTATCAAAAACACAAAACACAAGATATCCAGAAAATAAGGGTGGGGGTATGCGGAGAAGATGTTAGGCGCTGAGTTCAAGAAATCTTTGTGCCATGGGATGTTTAGCTTCACAAAGTTGATCAGGCTTTAAAATTTCTACAATCTCCCCATTAACAAGCAGACATACTATGTCTGCTATTCTCTTTATTTGTTTGATGCTATGTGAAACCATCACAACGGTCAAATTCTGCTCCCTCTTCAGCTTTACAAGAACATCCTCAATATTCTGTGTTGATATCGGATCCAGTGCACTTGTTGGCTCATCCAGCAGCAGAACCTTAGAGAATACGGAAACATAAGGCTATATACTTATATCACATTCAACGTAATTGGCCGACTGAAGTTTCTTTGTCAAAACTGGTGAAATCTTGGCATATTTAAAATTTACCTCTGGTTCATTAGCCAAGGTCCTAGCAAGTGCAACTCTCTGTGCTTGACCAACAGAGAGTTCTCCACCTGACTTGCTGAAGAAAGATGAATCCAGGTCAGCTAGAGTCAGCAACTTGTATACCTCATTGTCACTTAGTTTCTTTCCTTTTAATTGTGGCCCATATCTTACATTATCTGCAACAGCGCCTGAAATAATTTTGCACAAAGAGCACTTAATCAAGCACCTGTTACTACTTAACAACTCTGCAGTTAAATATATGTTGACAAAAGAGTTACATTTGATTAAGTTATCCTAGTAGCAACCCAACTATTGTATTGATTACGCCTAGGGGTGGCAAAATGGTTAACAGAAAATAGTTAACCATCCATATTACCTACTAAAAAAATAATGAACTTTTTAAAAATGGGTCAAATATGGATAAGAACCATATTATCCATTTAGAAAATGGATAACCAATGGGTTTAACTTTTACATTTGTAAAACCTCAAATTGAGAGTTCCTCAAGTCCATATTATCCGCCGGTTAATCACTTTTTTATTCGTATTAAATATGGGTCGGGTCGGACAATTTATCCGTTTTTTATTACCCGTTTTCGACCCGTCCCATATCCAACCCAACACGCCTGCTTACCATCCCTAATTACGCTAAACATAGCTTTAGAAGCTCTTACTAGATAGGGTGCCATAACCACGCTTTAAAACTCGATCCTGCTCTGAAACTATATGATCTTGTCACCGGTCAACTAATACTGCTAGTTGTTCTCCTACTGACCGCCCCATTTCCCAGTTCCCTATTGTGAGCCTACTGAGCTTATAACTAAACTAGTTGATTCCCGCTGGCCGGCCGGCTTTACCAAAAGCATTGCCACTTCCATTAAATTGAGCATTATTTCGAACAATAGATTGCTTTTAACATCAAACATACTAAAACAATAACATACCCAGTATATTCCTATAAGTGGGGTCTGGAGAGGATAGTGTGTATGCAGACCTTGTGAGACCTTCGGCTCGGCTAAGCACAAAACTTTTAACATTAAACATATGATGAATAAATATCAACTCACAAGAACATGGATCTACCTATGATATAAGAGCTATCTAACTAATCAAAAGTACTGGCAATTGTTTTTGGATTTGCAATCACATACCTTCAAAGAGAACAGGAAGCTGAAAGAGCATGCCAATCTTACGGCGGAGAGTAAGCACATCCAGATCACATATATCTTGACCGTCCAAAAACACAGTGTTGGAAGGAGGTTCCCACAATCGATTGAGTGATCGCAATAAGGTTGACTTTCCACTACCACTTGGGCCAATGACACCCATGATTATACCTTTGGGTATGTCAACGTTTACATTGTTCAATATAGAAATACCCTTATCCGACACCTTTGTAAGACCCCTTACCTGAATCTTGATTTCTCCATCTTCCCTAAATCCACTCTCATTCTCTAGAAGTGGCTCTCTTGATCCTATAAACCAACACCACAGACAAAATTCCAAGAAAAGTAGAAAGTTTTTTCATTATATTTTAAGAAAAATAGTTTGTTGAATTAGCTTATAGAATGCTTGGGGAAAATGGGGTTTGTACTAACCTGGTAAAATTTCCATGGTATGAAACCTTAGCTGCAGACAAAGTAAAGGAGAAAAGAAAGTTGTGTTTTGGTCCGATGGGAAGAATGAATAGACTTATATGGAGGAAAGAATCTACCTTCCCCACGTCCACCAAGACAAGGTCTTGTCACATTAATTATAGTGACGTTTTGTCATGCAATCTTTTTAGGTCGGAATTTTTTTTTTTTGTGTAGCATACGAACTCACACTAGTCATATTTTTTTATCTCACAATTTTATGGACCCAAATTTTTATGAACACAAAAGTATAAGATTGAGGTCCACAAATTTATGTGACAATAAGTAGTCTCACACAACTAATGTCAGTTGTGTGGGGCACACAATAAAACTTCTCTTTTATGTCACAATAATAAGAATAACATCGAATAATGTGTAGTAGTAATGCTACGATTATTTATGCCGAGATACTATCTGAGATTATTGTTTGATTTGGTGTATATAAAATAACATACATTAGATAGGGGTGTATACATGCGTATCCATATATTATATTAAAAACTATGATATTGTTAAAATTATGGTTATATATACAATAATACCAAATAGAGTATATATAACTAAATAAGAAATTAGTAATACCAAAGCATCTATATATATATATATATATATATATATATATTATTTTCCCTAATACACCGTACCAAACCACTCCTTAGTGTTTAGAGTAAACACTAAATCATGTTAATTTATCATAATTATGTGATTTAACTTCAAGTCTCGTGCTCTTGTTTATGTGGGTGATAATGAGATTCACATGTCAAGACTTATCTGCAATTTGCAACTGCTAATGTCTTTGCACTTTGTCCACTTGTTATGGTTTGCAATCAGTTTCAAACAAAATAGATTGCGCCACTTATTCTCCATAGGCCATAATGTAGTTGCCACTTCAAATTTATGATTATAGCAGAACTGAATGTTGTTAATAAACAATTTTTGAGCGATTAGCAATCAGATCAAACAAAAAGGAGATGAATAGAAAAAGTAATTAAAGTCCTTTTCATTAGTCGATGGAGATATCTTGCAGTCTTGGATAGAGATTCCATCATCTTTGTACCTATACGACGTTCTTTATTATGTGGATAAATATTTAACATTAAAAATTTATTCTCACCCAATATTTTACACAGATTAAGCCACTATTATTCTATTACTATCGCTGAAGATTGAGCTAGACTCTTCTTTTGCAAAAGGTAAATGTTTTTGTAGATGCTAAAAGTCCCCTAATTTAGAGAAAGATGCACTATACAATTAAATGATAGAAATGATAGACAGAAATAGTAAGAAAGTAGTTAAGGATTCTTATTTAGGGAAGCGTCCCTCGAACTTCGATAGAAAGAGTAAGTACAAGAGAGGAGCTCGAATGTGTGATACAGTATGTGAAAAAGAAGGGGAAAAAAATGAATGAGAGCTCTAGTGTAACGACCCGGCCGGTCGTTTCGAGAGTTGTAGTCCCGTTTTCCCATTTTCTGCTCTTTTTGTGCTCTACATCTGTTATATGACTTACTAGGTTGGTTCGGGTCCGGAGAGATTTCAGAGTGAATTGAGACACTTAGTCTCATAATTGAAAGCTTCAGTTGAAAAAGCTGATCGGATGTCGACTTATGTGTAAACAACCTCGGATTTGAATTTTGATGGTTCTGTTCGCTCCGTTGGGTGATTTTGGACTTAAGAGCATGTCTGAATTGTGATTTGGAGGTCCGTAGTAGAATTAGGCTTGAAATGATGAAAGTTAGAATTTTGGGAAGTTTGACCGGGAGTGGATTTTTTGATATCGGGGTCGGATTGGATTTCCGGAAGTTGGAGTAGGTTCGTGGTGTCATTTGTGACTTGTGTGCAAAATTTGAGGTCAATCGGACGTGATTTGATAGATTTCGACGCCGTTTGTAGAATTTGAAAATTTCAAAGTTCATTAGGCTTGGATCTATGTGTGATTCGTGTTTTTGAAGTTGTCTGAGGTGGTTTGAAGGTTCGACTAAATTCGCATTATGATTTAGGACTTGTTGGTATGTTTGGTTGAGGTCCCCGGGGGCCTCGGGTGAGTTTCGGGTGGTTAATGGATCATTTTTGGACTTGGCTTGATGGCTCAAGATTGCTGGTGTGAATTTTCTGGTTTCCTCTTACGCGTTCGCGAGAGAGGTCTCGCGTTCGTGAAGGGCATCTATTGGCTGAGGAAGTTTTGTTCTTTGCATTCGCGAAGAAGAGGACACATACGCGAAGATTTGGACTGAGAGCGCAACGCGAACGCAGGATTGGTGACGCGTACGCGAAGAGGTGTTGAGGTAGCTGGGAACCCCAAGATATTGGTCTACGCGTTCGCGGGGCAGTGGTCGCGCTTGCGAAGAGTGGGGTCGGCAATCTTCTCGTTCGTGGGGTTGGGGTCGCGTTCACGAAGGGGTAAATTAAGGGGTAGTCAGAATGGTCTACGCGAACGCAAGAGGAAGGTCGCTTTCGCGATGAAGGCATCACTGGGCAGTATAAAAAGGTTCAAAAATGAGGGTTCCGGGATTTTTCACATTTCTAACATTTTTTAGCTCGGTTTTGGAGATTTTTAAGAGGATTTTAAAGGTGATTCTTAAGGTAAGATCCTTGCGTTCATTTCTGTTCAATAATTATGTTTCCCCACTGATTTTTCCACCTATTTGGTATGTTTTTTATGTGTAATTTGGGGGTTTGAGGCTAGGGATTTGGAGAGTTGATTTTGAGGATTTGAATGGCCATTTGGTGTTGGATTTTGATGAATTTGGTATGACTAGACTCGTGAGTGAATGTACTCTCAGGTTTTATGACTTTTATCGGATTTCGAGACATGGGCCCGGGGGCCGCTTTTGGCCAATTTTAGATTTTGGCTTGTAATTTCGTATTGATTGTATTGTACTGCTTGTGGCTAGATTCGGTATATTTGGAGGCTGACTTGCGAGGCAAATGCGTATTGGAGTAGAGTTTTTGCTCGGATTGAGGTAAGTAATAATTCTAAATCTGGCTCTGAGGGTACAAAACCCCAGATTTTGTGTTATGTAATTGTTTTGGAGGTGACACGCATGTTAGATGAGGGGCGTGCATTGTGGGAATTGTGACTTTGTCCATTCCGTAAAACTGAAAAGTTAAATAAACTCGTTGTTAGCTATATGCCCTCCATGTGTTGTAGAGATTTGACTATAAATCATGTTAGAAACCATATTTAAGCTATGTGTTGGTACTAATGGGACAGACAGAGGTCGTGTTACGTGTTGAAATTACCTACTAAATGCTATTTGTACTCAGTCTCAGCTTTTACTCGCATATCATATCTCAGTCTCTATTATTCTTGTTGATATATCATATCATTGTTGTTGGGCTAATTTTTATGATTTTTGAGAGTCCGAGAGACTAGAGATATTAATGACTGAGTGAGGCTGAGGTCCTAAATGTGAGGATATTTATGAGATCGGGCTGCACGCCGTAGAATGTTTCATTGATTTACTCCATGATTGGCTTGATATAACGCTTGGGTTGAAGGAGCCCCTCAGGAGTCTGTACACATCCCCAATGAGTGCGGGTACCTACTGAGTGCGAGTGCCGAGTGATGAGTGACCGTGAGGAATGAGTGACTGTGAGGAATGAGTGATTGTGAGGTTGGAGTGAATGAGAGGACTGAGTGATTGTTGCCCTGAGAGACTTTATATGATTTCATTGTTGTTGCACATAGCTTCCATATATCACTGTTTTGAAAACTTTTGAAAGATATTTTTATCTGGTTTTACTTGAGCATGTCATGTATAAACTGATTTGACTTAATTTGCTGGATTTGAAAGCATGTCTATCTTCCTTGTTGAGACTACTGAAAATGAATTATAACTGTGTAGCTCGTCACTGCCTTTCAGTTCCTTATTTATTATTGTTACTTACTAAGTTGGTTGTTGTAGACGTGTGATTTTTGACCCTCCCCGGGAATTTTCACATTTTTAGCGTGAATATTTAAATTGGGTCTAATATAGCTATTTTGACTATTTTACTTTATTTCGTCGCAAAAGAAAAATTACAAAAAATATATATATAAATTTTAGCTTATGTATTTCTCATAAACTTGAAAAAATACAAAAAAATAGTACCTTATTTTTGTACTTTATAATTTCGAAAATTATAAAAAATATAGTTTTATTAATGTTTTGTAGTCATTTTAAACATAAAAAAATATAAAAATAGTACTTTATGTTTTTATCGTTGTATAATTTCGAAAATTACAAAAAAAAGTTATTAACATTTTGTAGCCATTTTAATCTTGAAAAATACAAAAAATAGTACTTTATATTTTATCTTTATATAAAAACGGAAATGACAAAAATAGTTTTATTTATGTTTTGTAGCTATTTTAATCTTGGAAAAAATACTAAAAACAAAAAAAAGAAATAGTTTTGTTTTAAATGTTAGTCTTATTTTGGTAGTTATTTTGCTTGCATA